CTTTTACTCCTCTCTCAAACCAACGTTCCTCTCTATCAAGAATGAGAACATCCTCAGAGATGAGGATGTTAGGCTTGTAAATGAGTGAAAACTGCAGTTCTGGCCATTAGATGTAGCTCGTCTGTGTTGGGACATTCTTTTGAACAGTGGCTGCTTTGTTTCCCCGATGTATAACTGGTCGCAGTCCTCCTGGCACTGTTAAGTGCCAGGAGGACTGCACAGGGGGTGCACAGTATTAAAACAGACATTATTGTGTGAATTTTCGTAGTCTCGCCTGCATGTGTCACTCCTTCCACTATGTCAAGAGACTCCTGGAGACGCTGTTYGTCCATCGCTTCTCTCACGGAACAATGCCGCTACGTAACATCTTTAAGGTGAAAAAGATTCACTCAAACACTGAYCCATTATTCTGTTCAGTATGTGATGAATCCACCAACAGATATACCTCTGTCTGTGTTGTAGAACTGTACTTACTACTGGGGCTTTGCAGCGTGGATGGCCTATTACATCAACCATCCGTTGTACACACCACCCAGTGAGTACACAAGCACGTTTCTCCATCTGTTACACGTCCAAACATCCACATGAACACATGAATTACTTTGAATTGTCTGTTGCAGTCTACGGGGAGCAGCAGATCCGACTGGCACTCATTGTATTCTTGGTAATATTTCTCATCACAATTCTTTGGTCATTTTGTTTTATAGCTTTTCATTAGACTGATAAAATGTAGAAATGTGTAAATCAAACATTGTATATTGTTGGATCAATAGATGAATGTTACTGATTACAGACTAGGCCTGTCATGATAACATATTTTACTGGATAAATTGTCTCAAATATAATTGCGATAAACGATAATATTCAGGGTTCCCGCAGATCCTAAAAAAGTCTTAAAAGGCCTTGAATGCATCAATCCAAAAATAAGGCCTCAATCAGCCTTAAAAGGTCTTAAATCAATCTTCAGAAGTCTTAAATATGTTAACAYATTGTAAATAGGATGACTGTAATTCATCTCAAATATTAAAATAATTGGTAACGTTTGTATATTTTTGAAATATTCCCATTCAGATGTTTTCTTTTGACACTTATCACATGCAAATATCTCAACAACTGTCCATCTGAGCAATGTGAAAATCATTTTTAAATGTGTTTATAATGTTGTCTTTCCAAAAATACATTCATATTGCTTACAAAAATTTGATGTCACAGGCACTTTAAGGTTTTATCTACAGCACATGTGTCAAACACAGGGTGACTCCTGTGTGGCCCGCCCGGGGGGTCCGCTCCCAACAAAAATTTATTTTTTTACTGAACATGAAATTTGTTTCTTACAGTATATCAATGATAAACTTTAAATTTATGGCTAAATGCAACAAAATTAATTTAATAAAAATAAATGAAATAAAAATAAATTAAARAAATTCCTGTCCCTGAGCTGTTGGCTTGAAGTAACTGAGCAATTTAGTTGGATAGCACAGTACTGTCTGAAAATAAGCTGCTTTAAAGTCACCATCAACCATAAACTAAATATGCCATAATGCAGCTACTCACTAGAAAGTCATCAGTKAGTAAAACTTTTTTTGTTTTACTTTTAGTAATATTTCTGTATTTATTACAGATTTAGTCAGTCATAAATTTAGTTCTTATCAGTGTTTAAAAGAGGACATAAACTCTGTTTAGTCAAAGTTAAACATGAAACATCAAAGTTCATTACAAGTGGCCCTTCGAGGGCCACCATAACGCTCATGTGGCCCTCGGTGAAAATGAGTTTGACACCCCTGATCTACAGCAAGCTGGGGTTGAGAATGCACTCTGGGTCATAAAACTCCAAACTTTGGGTCGTTAGAGAATTTCCAGGAATTAAATTATGTTTTAAAACTGACTGCTAAGAACATTTTTTTTGCTATATTTGACAAAATAGCAGTTATATATGGATAAAAACAATTGGTCTTTTAGCAATATTTGAATAATTCAACCAAAAATACTGTGATTTGTGAGTTTCTGCCGCAGTTTATTATTATTATTTTTTGGCATTTGTGTTTAATGGGAAATTGGTCTTAAATTTGATTTCATTTGGCATTAAAAAGTCTTAAATTTAACTTTCCTTTAATTGTAGGAAACGATATTGTTGGAGACCAGTTTAAATTAATATGATATAAACCCCCCCACCAACCCCGGTTTATGGAAGTTTTCTTTAAAATTTGCATAGTGTAAAAAGAAAAATCAACTGTCTTGGGTAATCCCAAGGTTTGACACGGTGCCCTGACAGCGTCCTGAGGCGTCTCCAGCTGAATAAAGGCATCAGAAAACTGAAGCCGCTCCTCTGGCTAAAAGCCTGTTCACAGGCTCTCATGCTACAGAGGTTAGGAGACCATGCACCTGGCAAATGCCTGACACCGGAGTTCTCTCCTCTATGCTAAGGAGTAGAAAAGATGGAGAACACGAAGAAAACAAACAAGCAGGCAAATTAAAATTACTGTTCCCATTTTAATATATCCTCATTTTCATTTATCGTACGATTAATTGATTTATTGTTTATTGTGACAGGCCTACTACAGACTTAAACATTTGTTAGCCCTGTTTTAAACCACTGACATGATGACTTTCTCAGTTCTGTCAGATTGGCAACTTTTCCATCCACATCGCTCTCCGGAACCTCCGTCCGCCTGGTAAACACACCTCTACACCTTTACATCCCTCCGTCATCCAAACACACAGGGCACCTCTCTGACAACAGGAATAATAAACATCTGTTCAAAAACATTGTGATTCAAACATTTTCTTATTTATTCTTACCAAAACTGAGGAAAAATTTAAAATTTATTAGGATTCTTTTTTCTTATATTCATCAGTAACAAAGCAACACAGTTGGTTAGAATCTAAAAAACAAAATTACATTGATTTAAATTATTTCTAATTTCTTTTCTCTTGCTTCCTGAATGTAGGCTCTAAGGCCAGGAAGATTCCTTATCCAACCAAGAACCCCTTCACCTGGATCTTCCTTCTTGTCTCCTGCCCCAACTACACCTATGAGGTAACATGTTCAAACAATGTGATGACTGACACCTRAAAACAAAAGTACAGAGTGGCTTTGACAAATCACAAGTGCTCAAAGTTAAAATTTATCTGTAGACCTCAAAACACCCAGGTTTTAATAGGCTATTTTTTATAGAGTTATTATGGTACCAAACAGTATACACCAATATACTGTAAAAATGTATAAAAAGAAGAAACAAACAAGAAAAAAATTAAAGGAAATGATATCATAGTAAAAGGGATTTTAGCAGTTAATATATGTTGCTGAACTACAGGATTTTCTAATTTAAAATGATGAACTGAGTAAAAGAATTATTCTACACTTCGTGTAGAAAACAGATTAAAATAGATTACTTGTATTATTTGAAATATTTTGTAGTTTAGTGTAAGACTGAGACTTTGAGAGTTGTATCTGAGGCTGCTGCTTCTTAGAGGTACRTGTTGATACAGACGTATGAAAAAGTTTGGGCAGCCTTGTTAATTTTCCTGATTTACCTTTATGTATCATTGATTGTTTGGATTAAAAATAT